ATGTTATGTTATGTCATGTCACATGTTAGGTTATGTTATGTTATGTCATGTCACATGTTAGGTTATGTTATGTTATGTCATGTTAGGTTATGTTATGTTATGTCATGTCACATGTTAGGTTATGTCACATGTTAGGTTATGTTATGTCATGTCACATGTTAGGTTATGTAATGTCACATGTCATGTCATGTCACATGTTATGTTATGTTATGTTATGTCCTNGACTGTTCGACAGACGACCATGCACCCCCAGCGAAAGCCATGGCCGGATATTCCACCACAACCCGCGCCCACCGGCCTTTAATAATAAAATCACAATAAAATAATAATGTCGTGACGCGTAGCACGACAGAACATCGAGATTTATTGAGCCAGATAAAATTATCCATACAGATCACACTTGGCTGAAGCGACCAACCACTATACTATACTAGAACACACGTGCAAAACAACACGCGCACAGGCCGTCAGGGCCTGCACACGGCAGCACCGGCACTGCCCGCTGCAGCCTACTTTGAGAAAAAAAAACCCGGGGGCGGCACTCCATACATTCCACTGCAAATCAGAAAAAAAATGGGGGGAGGCCTCGGACACCTAACCTCAGACTTGAAAATGGAGAGTCTCTGAGAACTAATGGAGTCGCCGAAAACTAGGGCCCGGAACCTAGAAATCGTATGAAATTTAATGCGATTGAAACTGGACAACTTTACATAGAGAGGTCCCGAACGGTGGGAACCCTTCCTAGATCAACTCCTCTGACTCTAACCAGTACCAAGCTCAACGCATACGCCAGCATAGTCGAGCCTTGGTGACAAGATAGCCTCTTTATAAAACCTCTTTCAACCTATATGCTGCTGAGGATACTCTCCGCAACGCTGTGCATGAAAATTTCATGCGATTTTCGTTTCAACTTTATTCGATGCTAACACTATGTCGCCAACCGTGTACATGCTCATTCTCCATATAACGGTACATGTGAACTGTCATGAGCGTTTATGTCTGCGCGTACATGCTGAAAGGCGTATATCAGAGAGACATGATACAAACCACAAATAACCAAGCCGGTATCAATAAGCCAACCTAGCTACAGAACTTGTCCATATACATGTTTTCATGTACATAATCATGTACATAGAGTGAGATGCAAACAAGTAACCCCACGTCCCAAAATAGTTCTAACACCTCGCAACACACAACCTTAAACTGTACGATAGCGTAGATCGCGCGCGCGTTATGATGACAATAACTTAGCTTTGTGAACGCAGGATGACGCACAATCTGAAGGACGATGGTAACCTCGTAATATTCTCAGAATTCTACAAGTGGCATGAGAAACAATTAACCATTACGTATTTAGGCATTAGTCATTGAATATGCGCAGTAAGTACTAACAAAAAGAGGAATATATCACATGCGTCTCACGCCATTCTTGCACACAGGCGGTCACTCATTGGAAAAAATAGAAAAAAACGCTGATTTCTCCGTTCGATCTATTGACAATAAAGTCACCGAGATATAAATGGATATTTCTCTGTGATTAACAACTCCGATATAAATTTAATTAATTACACTCGTTTTAATTAACATATGTGGTAAAAAAAGATGCGTCAAGGGAGTATGTTATTAAATCCGTATTTACTTATTATCCTCTTTATCGCTAAAAATTTCTATTAACAATAACACCAAAAGCTTGATTTAAGCAAGTTTTTTCAGTTTTTCTCGAGATAAATATAAAAAATTATAAAAAGAGAAAATCCTACGCGACTATTATCGTCACTATAGTATTGTATCCTCACCTTTCTGGTAGTGAGAAATATCCAAAAATAAACGGAACAAAATTTACCGTGACAATAAGTAGTGCTGAAATTGTTCATAAATCGTTTGCTGTGAATACGATCATTGCCAATTAATCTTCACTAAACGCAATAACCCGGCACAACGTAGAGAATATAAACCTTAAAGGCTCACAATGCGCATCCCACAAACGAACATACTAGACTAGCAAATAGCTTCGTGTCATAGCATAATATACCTACCTTATGAGCAAAATAAACCTCTAGTTCCTCCCATTTCACTAGCGCGTGTCGCTTAATAAATAGGTATTAAAATAATACCCTCCAAGTGTGAAACATTCTCTCCGATCGTTGTCTGACAGTTTCCCCAATCCCCCAACAACAGGTGCAGCGGTGCTGCGGTACAGCGGATACGGGCGCAGCAAAGAATAACAAAACATTGACGATTCCCACGTCACCAAACCTTCGAAGGCTATTTTGGCAAACATATCGCGTTTGCGCCAGACATGCCAGTTATCTCCCACCTCTTCTTGTTGGTTTTAAGCAAACGCGCAGTGAACATGGGAGCGAACTAAGTTATTTTCATTAAGTAGTGGATTACTCATGACACAAAATATTTGACTAGTCTAGTACTTGAGAAATTAGCGTCTTGTAATGCGCATTGTGAGCCTTTAAACCCTCTTTACATCACCGTAGCTATCTCTCGAATCACGCACTGCCACGTATAGTGTACTATCGAGACATCCTCCATGGTACGTCGGTTTGGTGCAGCTCTAAACACTTAAAAGATATTGGCCCAATCAACTTCACCACCGAGGCCCAAATTCCTACCAAGACAAAAGCCGGTAGAAGAACGCGAAATGATCGAGGCAGCAAGCAGACATATCCTTTCCAGCCCGGCCACGGCCTTAATAAAGACTAATATTCAATAGCTCTGTCGATAATCATCCATACTTTCATTTACGTAGAAACCCGGTGGTGCGCCAGCCGGGTACAGCGTAACTAATTACTCTATTGAAAACCTAATACATTACAAATACATTTTACATGAACCTCACCGTTGTTCTTAGCAATTCTCGTATCTTCAAAATTAAAAAATTTCTTAAAAAATTTCCTAACGATCCGCACGATTTCATTTCCAGAATCGCTTCTCGTTTCTGCGGCTGCAATTTTTGTTGGCTTCTGGTTTCGGAGTAGTGGAGTCGTCGGTGGCTCCATCTGGTGTGGATGTGCGCGGAGGTTTTGCGTATCGTGCGCTTATCGCTGCCATCTGTTCGTCCGTGAGAACGGGAGAGTTACCTGCAATACAAACGCAAAGCAAGTCAAGGAAAACACGAAGGATAACAACATGACGGATATCATGAATTAAAATACATCTCCAATAATGCTGTGTCGTGTCATGGCCGTGTCATGTAATGTCATTCGGTTATGTCATTCACAATGTTTGGTAATTAAGTCACATGTCATTGCTCTCATGTCACATTTATGCTTAATGTCCGTCACATGTTTAGGTCATGTTAATCATGTCACATGTAGGTTTATGTATGTCATTTCAGCATGTAGGTATCGTTATGTCATTTTAGTTATGTATGTTAATGTCGCTATCACATTTAGGTTATTTATTCATGTCCACATGTTAAGGTTATGTTATGACATGTAGGTTATGTAATGTTATGTCCTTTCACATGTTAGTTATGTTATGTCACATGTTATGTCATGTTATGTCACATGTTATGTTATGTTATGTCATGTTAGGTTATGTCATGTCATGTCAGGGTTAGGGTTATCGTTCATCGTTTCGTTCATCGTTATCGTTTCTCGTTTCATTTTAAAACGAGATTAAAATCGTGACCCGCCCAGAAAATCAACCTCTAGAAAACATTCCATCACATCTATAAATATGGGAAAAACGGGAAAGAATGTGGAAAAACTCTCCCCAAGTGTTCCAGTGAAGTGTTAGGCTAGGCTCGACATAAACACGTCTACGTCTAATCGACGTTACAACACGTTACCACCCCCTGGCGAGTAATTCGCGTTGTCCAGCGACCCCACTTTACTCTGCACTCGTTCTATGGGCGGCAGGCCGGCACTCTCTATTTTCTTGTCTCCGCCTCCAGGCTGGTGCTGGGTATTCCCTAACCATTCCACCCTTGGCTTAACATTCCACTCTAATTTCTGGTTTACGACCTGGACAGATCACACACCCGCGCAAGGTGAATGCAGAGGAAGAACCCAAACAAGTACCGCGGAGCGACAGCGCTCATCTCACGTCTACTGCGGTGACTCTGTGGTGGAGTGGTGGGATTCTAGTAAACCCTGTTAGTCCCAAATGTGTTCACATACGCGCCAAAACAGTGGAAGGCACAGGGATGGTATCAGGAACATTCTCAAAGGAATGTTCGTTGGGATCGTTATGAAAGTTGCCAAGAGATGGCGCGTACGTTTAAGTGTCTTAAGATTAAAGATGGAAGCTCCCATCATACGTAGTAGCAACAACTATTTGCAAGACAGAATAGGTAAGCACTCATCGATTTACCTACGCAAGCCTACAGGCTGAAATAGACAGCTGCCACCTGTGAAGCGTGCCGGATGGCCTATAATAAGGAGGCAATGCCTAACCACGTTATGAGTTATAGGTAGCCATTTTATTACTGCTCATATGTTGTTATGTGACGTACGTCATCAACGATGTGCATATATGGTACATGAATCTCATTTCGTAACATCCCCCTTCCTTTGAAGTTAAATACAATATCCCCTTTAACAAACCATGTTCTAATAAATTGTACAATATAATGCCATTGACCATAACATGAAATGCTATACTTTTCTAACTTCTAAGTCAACCTTGCTTATTTTAATAACACCTTGAATTAATAAATGTTGTCCATACTATTATACTGCGGCCATTCGAGAGTGATTAGCATAACAATGTACTCAAGTAAGTTCTATTATGTTTCAGTGTACTTCCACTTGGGTTCCTATAAAAACATATATTATTAAACTCTCAAGAGAAACCTTAACAGGTAACACATGGATCCATAACTTGCTTGACCAACAACAAACGATAAACAATAGCGGCAGTCTTTGACACTGTCCATATCCTTCAATACATACACATTGGGGCCAACTTTGGTACCCTCCTGCCTTCCTTAAAAAAAAAAAATGCAAAGAGTAATATTTTGTTACCACCAACCAGAAAAATCTGTCATTATATTCGCGTACCTGGCGCTGTATGATTCACTATGGGCTGAATATATGGCCGCCGTTTTCGATTGTGCGACTGATCGGTGCGTTATGTTAATCAGAGGTGTGTTTGTGTCAGAGTGGTCGTGAGTTGCGCTCTGCGTTGGGTGTGTTCTGCGCTATGGACTGTCTGCATGGCTAGTGGGCTGTTGTGGATGTTTTGAGTGGTGGTGCGGGGGTCGTTCGCAAAAGGTGGTATACGTTGGCAACTTCTTGCGCATGATTGGGCGTATTACTGACCGCGATCTTCCCTCAAGTGGAGCGGATTGGCGGCACCGTGGGGGCCCCCAGGTTCGGCACACAGCCCTGAATATTCAGCGGGTATGCCACGTGTGTTCCTGCGGGGTGTAGGACACGGACCTGTTGTTCCAACGTGAAGTGGTGGGGAAGCTCTGTCCCGCATGTCTGTCATGTGTTTCCTTCATTTCTATTCTTGCCTCTTGCAGGAGATGCTCCGTGTCGGATGGTGCCTTCCACACTGCTGTGTCCGGGTCATGTGTACAGCTTTCATGTGTACAGCTATCTGTGTACAGCTCATGTGCTACAGTTCTGGTGTACAGCTTACATTGCTGTACAGCCTTTTCTGTGTACAGCTTCAGTGTGTACAAAGCGTCATCGTGTACAGCTTCATGTGCTACAGGCTTCATGGTGTACAGGCTTCTGCGCTGACAGCTTCTGCGTTACAGCTTCATGTGTACAGCTTCTGGCGTACAGGCTGTCTGCGGTACAGCTTCTGTAGCTACAGCTTCATGTGTACAGCTTCATGTGTACAGCTTCACGTGTACAGCTTCATGTGTACAGCTTCACGTGTACAGCTTCACGTGTACAGCTTCATGTGTACAGCTTCACGTGTACAGCTTCCATGTGGTACAGCTTCTGCGTACATAGTATGGGTACATGGAATGCTCATACTCGTAACCGCACCGTGCCTACACTAATTTAATGCAGCCAAAAAAACTACACAGTACTTCATCACCACCACATGCACTGGCAGTGGTATAAAGTTTACATGTAACACACTATGACAGTAGAAGTCATGGCCATGGTTGCATACAGCGACTGCAATTTTTTTCAAGGACTTTCTATGGACAGATCTTCTATGAGCTGTATGCGTAAATTCAGATAAAATTTAGGTCTCTTGAAAAAGAGACTCCATTTTAGGTCCTTTATCAGAGAAAAATATCAATTGGAGTCCTGTATGAAACCATGGGCGCATGATGTACTGGTCAGTTGGTGTTTAAAAGGGTGAACATCAAGCCACTGGTCCTAATTTAGGAACCAATGTTGTCATCGGGTTTGGATGTTCATACACAATGTGAGACACGCGAGAGACTATACGTCCGGTCAATGTATTAATTTGAGAATAATCGCCATTCGTTAATCACTGCATGTCACGAGCGTCTAAATCTTAACCTGGATCACATTTAATTGAAACCACTTCTAAACATCTGTCACTTCTACAACATTACCTTGGATTTACTGGGACTGATCGTTTAGGTGACTTACTGTAATTTATGCATCATCATTTAACTGTCTATCGTGTCTATAGCTTTTTAAACTCATTTAACGCAATTTTTATTGAGGTTTGCACATAATTATTGATGGTACAAAATTTCTTTTTATTACAGGCTTTTTAATCTTTTAATCTTTTTAATGATTCTTTCTAAAAATTCAAGGACATTTTCATGAAATTCAAGGACTTTTCAAGCACAAAATCAACATTTACTAAATTCAAGTACTTTTCAAGGACTCACCTCAAATTCAAGGACTTTTCAAGGACTGTACGAAACCTGGTGGTACTTCCTGGTCGTTATCCGGTGGCTCTTTTTGTGCGTCCAATTTTTATGTGTTCCCGCTTCTTCTTTTTTTTCTGCTTTTTTATTGGTGTAGCATTGCTACAAATGAAAAAACACTACAACTTTAGATATTGTACGACATTTTGTTTCTTAGCTATTGTACGCGTTTTATGTCACGTGATTGGTTACCATTCAATGTGATGTCTGCGAGCTAGGGGACACGATATATATTTTTTCCCACGATTGTACGCGCATATAATATACTATTAAGATTACTATGATGAATACCAGCATTGTCTAACGATGAAGTTGCATGCGATTTTTAAGGACATACGGGTTGGATTACGATGTGATATAATATTACGGTTGTACGGTTGCGGGTTGATTATAGTTATGATATTGTGCGATGGGGATTATGAGAAACAGTATGTTACGATTATACGCTTAGACGGTTACAGTTACAAGCAGACATATCACGATGGTAGGACAGCCTTTAATACATACAGCCCAGAATTACATAGAGGTTCTTCCAGTCGGGAGACTGGTTAAGCCGATTCCATCGACTTTTGTTATGGCAGGGTGAAATGTAGCACGGCGTTTTAGCATTAAGATAGACATGGGGAAATCCGACACATTACCCAGGCAACGGTTCGGGCGATGAACTCAGAAGCCATTAGATACATAATTAAGAACACCCGTAATTGAGAATGGACAAGGGGCAGTACCGAAGGGTGCAAAGCACATTAACATCAACAAGAATGCGGAGGGCTGTAACAAACAAACGATCATTAAGCGGACATCGGCCACGAGTATCGGCACTCCGGCCGGTACAAGCGGACGGGCGTCGCGACCGGTCATTGTGGTCACTAGTCGTGCCATAAACTAGGAAGTCTGTTTAGGTCGCGACGAACGCGCGTACGGTTTAAAAGAGAGAGGTTTTGAGGGAAACGGGGGAGTCACCGACTACAACTTGGTATGTGTATTCACTGTTACTATTCGGGTTTAGAATAAAGCTACTGTCAACGAACGTACATTTCAACGCTACACCGCCATGACACTGCAGATCCACGGGGCGTACAACCAACCACCCCCTCCCCCTACCTTTTAGTGGCTTCTTTTGGTGGCTTCTTGCATTTTTTTTGGTAGACCATGCATGTCCTCGAGTCCGTTTCCTCTTGGTCATAATTGGCGTGACAGCATTATCGCTACAAATAAAAATACACTATTAATTATTATGAACAAGTACGAAGTACTCACAAAACTGCAGTTTCCTTTGTGTTTCTCTTCACGACAGACTATAAACTTGCAGTCAAGTTTTCATACAATATGGATATATTTCTGGAGTAACTAGAGCCGCAGAGCGTCTAGGCTCATCTGAGGTCTGTCGCTACGGTTATAAACGTAACATTTAAATCGTGCGTATTGACACCTTTGTTAGGCGCAGATATGCAGATACGCAGTTGCGTACACATCTTTTCAGCAACCTTCTGCATTCCTCCCAAATCCCATTGGTTAATACAAATTCGCGTGCCGTTTAGATTTGTGGCGCAATTCTGCATTTCCTCCCTATACCTTAAGTTAAGGAGGGAATGTTCCCTTTCTTTTACACCTCTTGACCTTTGACCTTTGACCCCCAACTTCGACATCGCAACTCGTTTTCGGATTACCCCCCTACGTCCTGAATATCGTGACCGTACGTCGAGCGGTTAAGATTTGTGCCCAACTGTTGACGGACGGACGGACGGACGGACGGACGGACGCACGGACGATTGTGCGATTCTACAAGCTGCATCTGACTATGTCAGCTAAGCTAAAAATTATATAACATGCTGTATAGAGCTTACTTACACAGGAGGTGGCGATGATTCTATTGGCTCACTTGTTTCCTAATACAGCAAAAAAGAACTGTTAAAACTACAGGTCTATATATTTATGAGTAGTCAGTAACTTTACATAGGTGATAAAAAATTATGCAATTTGAGTATTTTTTCTACTAGCAACTTTGGTAATTTTTAACAATCATAATGGATTCGTCTCACGTGACTCATATACTCAACCAAACAATAAATGAATTGTCAGAGTTTGTGGTCCCAACTATGGGCGAACACAGGTTACTCTTGATTTTTCTTCACAAAGTGCCAACTACATTCAAGAATACAAGGTAAAGACTTTTACATCGGCAAAGTTGGACACGAAGGTTGCTGTGGGCATCTTAGCCAAGGTCTGTTGCTGCAGCTGCCATGTGAGCTCGTCGACATCATCCTTATATTTCTAAAGGGAACCAGACAAATGTTGAACTTATTATGTATAACTTGCTTTTCTATTAAGAGAGTATAGTCGCGTTCACACTGTCACAGGGGCGCAAATCCAGGGGGGGACAGGGGGACATGTCCCCCCACGAATTTTCAGAGGGGGGACATCATATCAAATGTCCCCCCTACGATTTTGGATCACCATGATTTTGTGTGTAAGTGTGCGTGTGTGTGCGCGCATGTGCGTGTGTGTGTATGTGTGTGTGTGTGTGTTTGTGAGAACCTTTTTATTGTGTGTGATAGTGAGTCAACGATTGGCTTCTTTCCCTTTTTTGTTGTTGCCAGTTTTCATTTTATTCAAGTGCATTTGAGAGCATAATAATGATCATGCATGATAATGTGTCTTGATAAATTTAGTACCGTTTTTTTAACACGTTTTTTGTTCTTATATTAAATAATTCTTATGCAGAAATCATCAAGAGAAAGTATTTTTCTTAATCCTTGAATCAGTGTCTAATGTGAGTGATATCTCCTAAACTTTCATTGTCCTCTTTGCGTGAATATAGCTTGTGTTTCCAGCTGAGTAACTGAGCATCGGTTTTAATAATGTAATTTTCATTGCAAATTGATATACGCATATATGATATGACTGGACCAACAATAATAACGGACCAATATATTTTGTGATCAGCCTCAACACCAAATGATTGGTTTTTCTGCTTTTTGTTTTCTTGATTTTATGACTGCAGTCTGCATGTGGACACCAGTTTCGTAATCTTATCACAAACCAAATGCATGTGTGTGTGTGTGGGGGGGGGGGGGTTGTGTGTGTGTGTGTGTGTGTGTGTGTGTGTGTGTGTGTGTGTGTGTGTGTGTGTGTGTGTGTGTGTGTGTGTGTGTGTGTGTGTGTGTGTGTGTGTGTGTGTGTGTGTGTGTGTGTGTGTGTGTGTGTGTGTGTGTGTGTGTGTCGTGTG